GGCCATACTATATTTACATTGTGTACACCCTGAAAGTGTTTTTTGGGTTGCAACTTCAAACTGGGCTCTGTAAAATAATTCAAAAATAGAATCAACAAATTTTACGAGAATGGCAGAAATATTTCAGTAGCTGGGAGACCATTTGTAGTGGGGTCATTGAAGAATCAAGTTATATTTGCTACTTCAGTTTATGTACAACAAATGTTTTTTTCACACTAAAAGTTGATTCTTCAAACCAAAGAGTTATTGCAGATCACATGACAAGGTCGTGAGGTTGACATGATTTAGTGATTTCTCCTTTAATCACATTATTTTGAAACTGATAATGAACTCATTACTAACTAGTACTGTTCTATTAAATTGTTACAATGCAACAGAGGGAATGCAGCTTTTATTAAAGCATCTAAATATATATATATATATATATATAAGTAATGGTGAACTTTTAGTTTTCAATTGTTCAAGCAGAATGAATGAGGTTTATATTATGAAATACTTTATTTTCGCTTGGAATTAATTTTCACTATTTTCGCTGAAGGAATGATTCAGTGTAAATAAAATCCAGCAAATATACCTTTTTCCCATATTTCACATTCACTCCTCAGAAATCATTGAAAATAAATTCCATACAACACCCAAAAAACACTTTTCAGCAAAAATTAATTTCAGCTAAAATAAAGTATTTTACAGTATTAGGAATGCAGCTTTAATAGAGATTTTACAGTATATACATTCATACTATGCTACATTCATATTATTCAACTTCCTTGATGCTATATTCTAGATACAGTTTAATTCTGCCTACCATTTTTGAAAAGATTATCCATACATTGGGCCACTCCACTTAATGCTGGAGTTACTGATACATGAATGGATGAATGGACAAACCATTGACCACTCTCTACTTACATGACAATTTTAAACAAATGTATATTCAAGTTCTACATTTAGAACTAAATGTTTTTGTCAGTAAAAAACTTTAACATGTGCAAATTTAAATAAATGTCTATGTTGACAAAATGTTATGCTATACACACATAAAATGTAGGTTTTTAAGTTTTTTTTTATAAGATATGGTAAATAGTCGGCCATTTTGAATCAGATCAGAAGCATATATATATTATTATGTATCAACTGCATGTACCGGGTATGTACAGAGTTTAAAAAAATTTGTCTATAAACCTCTGAAAAAACATCACTGAGAAAAACAAACAAAAAGAACCTAATCTATACATAAGCCTCCAGCTTATGAAAACATATACATGCATGAAAATTTAAACTGATGGCCCAGACATGTGAGAAAATATACAGATTTGGTTTAGGATCTGAATGGGCAGTCACAGATATGCATTGCAACATTAATTTATTGCCTAACGATTAGAGTACCCAATAGATAAATAAATAGAACCTACATCACTGGTAACTAAATAGACATGCCAATCATCATCAGGATAAGTAGGCAATTTTCAGTGTTGAAAATAATATGTTAAATTAATTATTAGTGATGTGGTTGGAGATCACAAAAACTGCATATAGATCAAAATTTATAATAATAAATAACGATTGGAACCCTAACCCATCATAGTTTGATATTGTGTAGTAGTACGGTAGCTACGTTAACATACAAAATATTAAGTCAATTTATTTAGTGGGACTAGTCATATTATATTACAACAATCTGAGTCATCGAGAAGAGTTTATGGTGATTTGACAAAAGGGCAGCAGTATCTGGAGATTTAAGTATTTAAAGATAGCACCAGCACAGTATCTGACAAACCAGCAACATATGAAAACACCATACAATGGATTAGAGACCGTATTTAGTACTTGACGTCACAGCAAATAAAAAACATGAAAGGTATACAGGACATGATGTTTGTACTATTTCTTGTACAGAACAACCTGTTGATGACACAAACTACTGGCACATAATTTGAAATCATGCAAAATATTAAAATAAAATTATTTTAAGTAACTATGCATTCTATGAACAAAACAATGTATACAGCCCTGGCTTTAAAGACTTTGTTTAATAGCCCAGAGAGCTCACAGTTGACACACTCAAAATTACACTGCAGTGCTATTTTTCACATAAAAAAATTTGAATGGTGTTACACAATACAAAGACCCAGTGTTGGGAATTACGATGGCAATAAAGTGTTGCCATAGGTAATGAATTGTAATTAATAGTTTTCTTGCATAGGTAGGATTTACAAGAAATGCTATTAACCTTCTCAACACTTGTTCCCTCTTTTCATCACAAATTCACAGAATAGTCCTGTTTACAGTCTGCACTTCACTTCAGAAGACTGGGACAAAAATAGCCAATTTTTTTTAGTAAAAACTGAAAATTGACCAAATTTTGTCTGTTGGCTTCAAAATTAGGGTTCATTTCAAGAAATATTTAAGAATGCAAGCAAAACAGTGCAGTAAAATTTGGACGGGAAAGTCTGGTGGTTAAAAGGTTAAATCACTGATTTGTGCTAACATTGCCCTGTTGGTGGCCATTATAGAGTACAATGTACATGTGAAATATTACTATGGTGGGCTCTCCATGGCAACCAAATGTCAAAGCCTCCATTAGTTTCAGATACACATGAATGCATTTCAGTTATTTTTATTTACTAACTCAAACAGGTCTTTCTTTTCCTTTAGGTGTGTTGTATAATGTTGTATAATGTACATTACCATTTATCATATCATTTATTGTTACCCTTTATTTAACCTTCATTATAATGAATCTTTTCAAATATCAAT